GGATAACGTAATGAGATAAACCGTGGAAACCGAGTCTCTGTTAGCTCTGTTCCTCGAATCCGAATAAATGCACTTTTCCGGTTAATTTATCTCTTCTCGGCATCTTCTCTTCTCTTCAACCATCTGGTCGGTAAACAATACCAAGAAATAAGAAAAATTCTCGTCAGGGAAGAATATTTTCGTACTAATGTCAACTTTATTCTCATTTATTCCGTATGGAATGTCTTGCATTCGTTTTAAAATACGAATTATTTGGAAAAGCACGATCATAAATTCATTGGATCGATACCAACGGACTGTTCTCATCTTCGCTATATTATTGCGGAGAATTGTTCGCGCGTGCACATGCATCCCTCCCCAAGTCGAATTTATCGACGGTATAACTATCGGCGGTCGTGGCTTAAATGGCGCGTACAGAGGGATGAAATCTTGAAAGCAATAATATTCACACCCTGACCGGGGGTGCGCACGAACAGCGCCACTTTTTCGTCGATAATCCTCCCACCCAAGGTCCACAGGCCGATTCCCTATATTCCCAGAACCGGTCTATCTATCCTACGTGTCTGTAGGGTAGTTTATTATTCATCGAGCTTGCGTCCTCAGCGTGGATAAACGGCGCATTGTTTATGCATTAGCCTACACCCTGCCTCTGGCCATCTCTCGATCTGGCCATTGACTAGATTCTCCTCCCTTTTCTCTCGCCCATCAAACTTGCTCGATTAATTGTGCCTATGTTTAACGCGTTATCAAAATACAATGACTTTGATCGGCCGACTACGATCCCTAAGTTTTATTTCCTTTCTTGTGACAGATTTTTCGAGGGAAATATCAAATATTGGCGGAATATCTAAGAGGTATTTCTCTCGAAATCGTCTTTTTACGATTCCTTCGTTCCTCGATATTTTTCCTCCTGTTTATTCATCACGATAACTACTTTTAAGATGGAGGAAGAGTTTTGAGAATCATTCGTTAAAACTTCGAGAAATGATCCAACGGAGCGGTCTTAATGATGCTTCTTGCAGTCCGTGCTAATATACTTCTTTCAAAAGGAAAAATGTTATTTACGACGCGTTTCGCGGGAGGATAATGAATGAATCCGGAGCGAAAATTGAATGGAATAAAGTACCGAACGTTTTTCCGTCATCGTTTGAATCGGGCTTCGCGCAGATAAGAAGCGAAACGATTAATCACGAATTTCTGTCGCGGACAATCGGACTACGAAATACAGCCGGGGCAAAAGGAAGCAGACCGCGTCGTATGAATAAAATAACCATTAATTCGAACCTGGTACGCGGCAGGCTAGATACAATTCCAACGGAGGAAGGGGGGGAGACGAGCCGCAATTGCGAAGCTCTTTTCTTTCCCGACGAGTGTCCCCGACTTGTGTCCGAAAAATGGGACGAAGTTAACGAATAGTCTCCACCCGTTCGTGTTCACGCTTCGATCCTCGAAGAAGAACGCATTCTCATTCTCATAGAAATCGATCAATCAAAAAATCCAAAACTTCAAACTCGTCTAATCTTAAATTATCTTAGACCCGATGCAATTCCCAAATCGTCTTTTCGTTTTGCAACCACAATTCATCTAGCGACGAAACGTCAAGAATTTCAGCTTGTTCCGTTCCAAAAGAAAAGAAAAGAAAAAAAAATGGAAAGGAAAACAAGAAGCAAGCCGAACACCACAGCTCCAGATAAATTCGCTTTATCAACGCCACGGATGCTACCACGAATAACCGCAAAACTAATATTATCATCGCTCCAACAAGTGGCGGCGAGCGTGTCGTTTCGCGACAACGATCCTTCCATAATTTCGCGACCTTTGTAAAAATATCCGAGCGAATATGCAAATTCTCGATGGAGTTCAAACGGTCGGGTGTAGAGTTGGCAGAAATAAGCAGGGAAACGTGTCGCGAAACGCACGATGCGACGAATTTTCCTTCGACCCTGACTCTCTCCTCTCTCTCTCTCTCTCTCTCTTTTCCCTCTCTGTTCGCGCAACGTGTTACACCTCCAACTTTTTGCCCGGCCGTTCGGATACGCAACAACACAATCTGGCTCGGCACGGGTCTTGGCAAAACAATAGTTTCAACCTGTAATCCTGGACCGTGTTTTAATCTGAAAGAACCCTGGTACGCCGCTGATTGCATTGCATAGTAATCTTAGTTTTTACCGTATCCTCGGATTGCCGCAAGGAGTACCCACCCCTCCCTCTCTCTCTCTCTCTCTCTCTTTTCCCTCTCTGTTCGCGCAACGTGTTACACCTCCAACTTTTTGCCCGGCCGTTCGGATACGCAACAACACAATCTGGCTCGGCACGGGTCTTGGCCAAACAATAGTTTCAACCTGTAATCCTGGACCGTGTTTTAATCTGAAAGAACCCTGGCACGCCGCCGATTGCATTGCATAGTAATCTTAGTCTTTACCGTATCCTCGGATTGCCGCAAGGAGTACCCACCTCTCCCTCTCTCTCTCTCTCTCTCTCTCTCTCGCCCTCCCCTTCGCGCAGAGTGAATATCGGGGTCGTGAACCGCATTATACACGCCATCGCGTATAATCGCGGCCAAGAATGGAAGGATTCGAATGGAAGGAAACAGTGAAGGGGAGAAAAAAGAAATTTTTCACGGTAATATCTGGCGATCCTGTCATCGATGGCTTTCATAAATCGACCATGAAATCGCGATTTCTGAACGACCATTTCTATCTGATAATCTTACCCCGGCTCCATGGAGGTTACTTTATGAACCGTATTGGAATCGATTCTATTCTCACGGCGAGAGATTATGATTACGAGAGGGAGAGACATGATTTCGATTGGAATTGGAAAAAAAAAAAATACGTATTCAGCATCGCAGCGTGCGACTCGTGATTTTTAAAAACTTCGAGATATATTTTTATACCTCGTCTTCGAGGGAAATAGAAGCAGCAAAAAAAAAAAAAAAAAGAAGAAATATACGCGGGATTTAACTAGAAAAGCAACGTACTCTGGGGAGGAAAAAAATGCTTATTCCCCGGCTAAAGAAACCGCGAGAACGGTCGCGATATTGGCTTTTTCCGCTCGAACGTAATCAAGGCGCAAGTGGTACTCGAACAACTAGACGACACAAGAGGACCTTAACGGAAAGTCGATGTTGGTACACGATAGGGAACAGAGGGGAGAAGTGTTCGCGAGACAGCATGCATCGATATCGGTTTTCAATGAAACGGAAACTCGAAACACACCGTGGAATTTCGTCCATTAAATTCGCGATGACGAATATGGGAATAGAATTTATCGCATCCCACCCCTCCCCTTTTATCCCACCCTCGATACCATCCTTTCTTCTTTTCCTTCTCTTCCTTCGTCTCGTTCGAACCGCGAAAACGTTCCACGGTAATATCGCGCGATAAATTATCGCCGCTTTAGCGAAGCGAAATCATTTTTCCCCGGCAAAGGGCCGCGAAGAAGAAGAAGAAGAAGAAGAAGTTTCAAACCCTGTGTAATTTCCATGTATCACGGGCGAGAATTATTCTAAAAATCGATCCTCCACCACCACCACCGTCTCGAATTGAATACAGGACAGAAAAGGGATGAAATTGGAAATTGGTATGAATGAAACGCTACCGATGAAATAAATTTCCATGGAACGTAGATACGCACGATTACGAGAGGCAGTCGAGAGCCGTGCCAATTATAGCATATTTAATAGAAATTAATGGAAACATCGGGGGACAAAAGGAAACGGTGTATCGATCCAGGTATCGAGTTTTCGTTTCGAGCTCTCGAAACCGGTCATTCGAACGATCAGAATTCCCTTTTTAAGTAAAGGCTTGCTCTTTTCCCCTTTTCCCGAAACGAACGCGAGCTATATAGTATTGTACAACACCTATTTCGTGTAAACTCATGTTCGTTATTTTTTTCGATTCGTTTGAGCACCGAATCTCTCCTTCCTGGCTAGAATCAAGATGGAGGCCAATTTCAGAAAGAAGGTGAACGGGGCGGTGAATCGAACGAAGTGGCAGACGTCAAGCCGTCGGATGTCAAGCCGAGTCGTATATAATTACATCGTTACGTGTACACACATCGGGTGGTAAGTCTTCTTGACAGACGCATTCGCATGCCGCTTCGTTTCCACGCGAGTTACCGTTCCTAGAGATTTCATTACGCCTCCCTCCGGGCCTCATAATTACGAGAAGGATGGATAGTCGTTAATTACATAGAAAGCCGATGCTTCTCCTTCGTTCTCCTTTCGTCGCTATCTAACCAAGTTTGTTCTAACGTGTTCCATGTGCTCCCTTTGAGAATTCTAGCGAGCTTTGCGCCAACGTATCGCCATCGATAAAATCGTATCGATTTTAACTTTCTTTTTCTTTTTTCAATGCAATCGGTTTTCTATCTTTTTTCTTTATTCCTTTTTCCTCCAATTGCGATTTTTATAACATTCGAATAATTGAAGCTGCGATCCACGCGTAGATTTTTAATATCAAAGAATAACCATCACTACTACTATTACTACTACATTCAATAACGGTATTTCAACTTCGAGGATACATTTTCGAAATTAATCGCGAAACCGATTTCTGTACGAAACTATCGCGACCGAAAGAGGATGGGAAAGTCTCTCTGTATATAATCTACGATTTTCGTGGAAAAGATTTCAAGTGGAAAAGTTGGCGAGACGTTCCTCTCTCTCTCGTCTTTCGTTATACTTTGACCCATATTTCCACGACGAGTGTGGATAAAAGTTTCATTAAAGAGTTGATGATCTTGATTTCGATTATTTCGCTTGTATAATGTCTCCCGGAAGAGTGTAACGTCTGGCAAGTGGTATACGTTTAACCCGGTTTCCGAATAAAACTCCAACGACCGGCTTATAATTGCTAAGTATTCCGCTCTTGCGGTTCCTTTCCCCTTTCACGTGTACGCGCGGGCATGATCCTTCGAACAAGCCAAACTTTTTTCATTATCTTTCGCGTCCTCGATATCGATATTTAAACCGTTCAAGAGGGGGGAAGAATACTCACCGGTACTTTTCACGGTAGGCGAGGCGGATGGCTGGGCGAAGAGGACGTGCGTGCCTCCTAGAAGGGCCAGCACGACGCGAAAAAACTTCATATTGATCATGGTTGCGTCGTTATTCCATGGAACACCTGAAACCAACCGAGAAAATTATCGGTTAATACGCGCGGTTGCATTAGAGATACAGACACATCCACCGACGATGAACCCTTCCTTAAAATGGAACACCGTTTATGCATTAGACCACTTCCTACTACCCATTTGCAAACCGCCAAACTGTAATTGCGTTTACCGCTACCATTATCGAACCTCAAAATTTTTAACCCTTTAGTAGAGAAGAATTCGTTTACAGAAAATGTTCTACTCTCTGAGAAAAAGAAAAAAGAAAACCCGATCTTAACCTGGCACGCATTCAATTATAGAAGAACAAGACGATGCAGACAACGCTCGTCCAATTTAGATACGAGACCACGTCATCTTAATATCCCTGTAGTGTTCCCAAAACCATAAGTCAAGATCACTCGAGGCGAGCTCTGCTTCATTTCCCGAATTCGTTCTGGGATGCGCCGCTTCTTAGAGAACACACAGGACTCTCTATCTCCGTAGTTCAGAAGCCTTTCCGTCCCTCGAGTCCATGACTACAGCTCCACCTTCGAGGGAGAATTACTCGATTCTCCTCCTAACGTTAATATGCCCTCAACCCTCTCCTATCTACGCTTCGTTACCTACGCTTCTTCTCAGATACGTAAGCATTCGACAAAAAAAAAATATCCTCGCCACGAAACAAATCTATTTTAAATCCTCGTATTTTTCCCCTGCCTCGTTGCGATCCGAAACGTGGTGTTTTCGCTCGGCCTCGACAGTGTAGCATATTAATTTCCGATAAATCAACCAACCCCTACCA